TCAGAGGATGCCGATTCATATAGCAATCTTTTGCGAAAGTGCTGCTGGCCTCTCCAATAGCATACAAATCAAATCCAGTGGTCTACAGATCTCTCTGCCTTCATAACCATTTTTTTTAACTTTAGGAATGGTAAATTAATTTTGCGTTGTGTTGCATTAAAAGTGGGAAGATAATTCTTTAAAACCTGCCACCCAATACGATGAATTTTTTTCCATTGTTATATGAGGAAGGGGGAAAATATTGCAGTTACAATCCCTCAATTTAATGAGTTTCAGATTTAAATGCCCTCCCTGCTGTTTCATCTACCTGAAATAGGCATGGCATCATGACGTCTTGATAAGGATCTTTCCCTCTAACCAAAAAGTTTGCAGTTGCTTGTTGGGCTTAGTTTTAGGAGTGCCAACTGACCAGGAAAAAGAATAGATTTGCCTGTTGTTGTGCTTTTAAGGGTTGCTTGATAGGTAGAGGTTGTAATGTGATGCTTTCTTCCTTCCACTTTCCACTTTTGAGCCCCTTATGGCGAAGTAGGTCAGTGTGCCTTGCTATTAACCAGAAGGTTGGTGGTTCAAGCCCACCCAGCTTGAATTAGATAAGCCTGGATAGCTCAGTTGATTAGAGCATGGTGCTGATAATACCAGGGTTGCAGGTTCAATTCCTCTATGGGATGGCTGCATATTCCTGCATTTCAGGGGGTTGGACTAGATGATTCTCAGGGTCCCTGATGACTCTGCAATTCTATGATTTGATTGTTTGCAGGAATGAGACATTGACACCTGCTAATTCCTGCCAGCCCAGCAGATATGAAAGTGATCAGTTTAAAAGTTGGCAACTAAGCAGAAAGCTAGGTCTCAGTTCCACTTGTTGCTTTCTGCAAAACTTTTGCAGGCACAAACAGTATTAAAAGCGGGCTTCAGCACTGGATCCATAGCAACTCTTTATCACATGGCTTGATGTGCTCTCAGAGGAAATCATACATGGCTGCTGCTCCCATATTTCTACATAGCTTCAGATTGTCAATTGTTTTATTTATTATCATTGTATTTTTACGGTCAAGGATGAAGAGTTTAGTGTGGTTTTCTGCTTCAAGCACTGGAATAACTTGAGATGATTTGCTGTTGTTGTTGTTGTGCTTAAATCCCATCCTTCCTTAAGGTGGTGTACACAGTTCTCCCTCTCTGCATTTTATTCTCACAACAACCTTGTGAAGCAGGTCAGAATGAGAGACAGTCACTGGCCCAAGGTCATTCAGTGAGCTTCATGACTGAGGTAGGATTTGAATCCTGGCTTCCTGGGGCCTCATCTTACACTCCAAACACTACACAACGCTGCCCCTCTTCCCCTGTGGCACACGCTGGCTCTCTTGACTGGCTTTCTTGCCCCCATTTTCTATAGGAATGTCACACTGCCTCAGACCCTTGTCTCATCTATATATATATATCCTTTTGTTTCTTTCCCCATCAGCCTTCCTTTGAATCTGCTCACCCTAAAGACCTGCACTTCAAAATCATCTTCAGTGCTATTGATGCTTAGAATTCTCTCCACATCCTCAGTTAAGGTAAATAATAGCCAGACCCTTCCCCTAAGACAACTTGCTTATTCCCTTTCATCTCCAGAGAGAATTTCTGCCAAGATGGAGTTTGGAGCTGTTTTTTTTAAAAAAAATTACATAATCTGGTACATTTGCAGCTGCCTTTGCTTTTATCCTTTGGCCTTAAAATTGCATCTTCAGCCTGCTAGCTCTGCGACTCTCTGTTCAGAGTAATTTGGGAGATATGAGAAATCTTTTTAAGCGAACCGTTTTCCATGCAGAAGGCAATTTGGCAGAAGTGGGTTGTGATTATGGCCAGATTGCTTGAGATCAGTGAAGCTTCCTCTGTTAAGGTGAGTGTGGCATTGTCCCCACAAGCTCACTTTGCTTTCAGCCAGCCCCCACCTGCCAGGCTTCTTACTTACGGTATCTACAACCAGTCCAAGAGGTTTCAGTGCACGCCTCCTGGTCTCAGTGTCTCTTATAGAATGCAGCAGGGAGGAGGATGAGGATGGGGACACCTAGAATGAGTTGGCTCTGCCTGTCATTGACTCTGGCGCCACCTACTGTTGGGCTCCCTGCCTTCCACCCTACCAGTCCCATTGAGCACCAACCACTGCTGAAATTCTTCCATCCTTTGTCCACTCATTGCTCTCGCTTTGCTTGTCATTAGTTTTGGCGCCACCTACAGTTAGACTCCCTGCCTCCCATTCCACCAGTCCCAATGGACACCTCAGAACATTACTACTTGAGATTACCCATGCTAAGCAGGTGCTTCATAATTGACCATGCACCTCAGGCCTCCAGGGCTATATGGGGAAGTTCTCTTGGCCAAAAGGCATACTTAATTGTCGGGGGAAACTTGTATACCTCCTATGGACTCTGGCCCAAATGCCTCAATTCCACTAATTTTGAATACATTTGGGGGGGGGGGTTAAAAGCAAACAAATCCTCCATGTATGTAGTAAGCTAGGATATTGAGGAGAACTTTCCTTTGTGATATACTAGCTTTTTACATTCAAGGCAGTTAGGGTTGTTGTCTTTTGTAAGATAGGAGAGGATTAAAAAAATATGAAGACCATTCCCACACTTGTAATTTCAAGCAGTAGAGTCCAGAATTCTGCCACCATGTTCTCCAAAATGTGTTGATTGCTTCTTATTTTCCCCAAAGCCTTCAATCCAAAAAGATCTGCTTCCCGCAAAGTGGAAGCCACATCCTGAAAAACAAATATCCATTAATTAGCCTTCTAGGTGATATTTTTCTCTGAACCCCACTGTAGCTGTAATTACAGTATACTAAAGTCACCCAGTGTGTTTCGGGGAAAATGTGACTGCAATCACTTTAATTAACAGGTTAAATCTGACATCTTAAAAGTTCTTGTGGAGCGAGTGTGGGAGTGAAAGAAGGGAATATTTGTGTGCTGTGTAAAGGGGTAGTGGTTTGGATTTTGTTGGTGGAAACCTGAGTTCAGATCATGGTTGGACATGGAGCAGACTGAATGAGCACGAGCCAGTCACTGTCTCTTAGCGTTTTTCTACCTGTAATTCTCAGAACTCAGAAGAAAGATGGGCCACAAACATGACAAATTAGATACAGGGGTATATCTCCCTCTAAGTGGACCCTGGGAAATTCTTGAAGCAGTTGAGATTATTCAGTTTGCCCATAAATTGTTCTGGTGACTTCTCCTTGTTTCTCAGTGTTGGAAGTGCAACAGCAGGAATCATTCCATTTGTAACTTAAGGGTTAATTCTGTTATCAGGAAGTCAGCTAACCTAGAAGGGTGGTGATGGAGGTGTTGCTTAGCAACCTGGCAGGGTGGCACGATCTCTAGTGAGATAGCATGGTGTTTTGATTTTCTGTGTAGTTCTTAGGAACTTTTGCTCTGTACATTTAGTTGCATTTCTTCCTGCTATTTACAAGTCCTGAACCTATAAAGACAAAACCTCTCTGCTTATTTATCCTCAAATTATACTGTTTTGCTTAGTTTCCTCAGTACAATGGCACCAAGACTTTTCTCCCTGCACTCTGCCTGTGTCAAGCATCTTTGCTAACACACAGTGATACTGTTGTGGTTCCATTTCTGTCTACACACACCCGCTGAGTTCACTATTAGGGTGAGAAACACAACACACAGTGTGCATTTCTTGTTCCATTCACCACTGGCATGTGGCCTTCAGAACACTGTCCAGAAGGGAATACAGCCATCAATCAGAAAGAGGTTCTCTGCCCCTGCTGTAAATGAATGGATACTATTATGAGTTTGGGATGTTAAACTGTATGTCAGGCCCCTCTAATCCCTGAATCCAGCAAGTGTTAAAATCCAACAAAGGCTTCTAATTTTTGAAATAGCCAGGCTAGACACCTGGTGAGATGTAAGGAGAACAAAGAAAGGAGCTTTGTGAGCAGAGAGTGAGAAGGACAAAACTCGAATCCGGGTGAGTGGTTGTGGGCCAGAAGCAAAGCAGCAAGCAGAGAGAAAGAGTTTGCTGTGCCAGATCTCTTCTTGAATCCAAGACTGTGGCTATGGGAGAAATAAGACCTAATTGGAATGTTAATGCTATGAACCCCTTCATTGTAAACTCAGGTTGTATATACGTGTAAAGAAACCATATATTATAAAGACACCACAGTCTCCGCTGTGCCACATTTCCAAAAGAAAACACAAACCCTGGGTGAGCTCCTGGAATCCTGGAAATCACACACTGTTTGGAGATTAGAGTGGAGTGCAATGATAATTTAAAGCGCTCCGGTGCTGCCGCCTCTTCTGGAAGCAAATTGATCTTGCAAAAGGTTGTCCTTGGGAGGGGACAGCATAGGAGACGGTGTCATTTTTGAAATGTCAAGTTAGCTGACTCAAAAGTCATACATTTGCAAAAACCTAAAACTTGCATGCCAAGCAACCAAGTCACTGCCAGCGTGGCTTTGCCCAACTTACACAACTGGTTGCCTGCAGCATCTGTGAAGGTTTTCATCACTCTAGCCTGGCTGTTTTTTAAAGGAAGGCTTTTTTTGCTGGGTGAGAAACGTCCTTTGACACTATGTTCTTTTGTTCTTAGCATCAAAGGACAAACCTTGAACACTGGAGACAAAGCAATCCCCCAAACCCACACGTAGCATTGACTAGGTAACTTTTCTAGAAGCAAACAGCACAATGCAACCCCATGAATTGGGAATCTGCGAGTAATTTCAGCTTGTTAAATCGCATCCTTTTCAAGGCAGCCTGATTACTTAGCAGGAGATAAAAGGAGAGTTGCTTCAGTTCCTCATGCTGAGTATCAGGGTCAGAGGCTGTTGGCCCTGGTCTTCTAGAGTTGCCATGAAGAATGGAACGGCAATTTCCTGTGAGAAGGACTGTTCTGCGGTGTGGTGGCTGCATCAGGTTGGAGCCATGAATGGTGGTCATCAATGTCCCCCCTTATTAGGGATGGGGAAACTGCAGCCCTCCAGCTGCTTCTGAACTGGACATCCAAGGGTAACTCAGCTGGTTAGAGTGTGGTGCAGATAATGCCAAGGTTGCAGGTACGAAACCTGTATGGGACAGTGGCATATTCCTGCATTGCAAGGGGTTGGACTAGATGATCCTTGAGATCCCTTCTAACTCCCACCATCATCTCCCACCATCCCTAACCACTGCCTGTGCTGGTTCATGGGAGCTGGAGGAAGAATACCTGGAGGGTCACAGGTTCCTCACCACCACCACAGAGACCAGTGTGCGATGATGACAAACGATGTAATGAATGTAACATAAGAATTTCTGCAGTGCATCAGAGCATAATTTTGATTTGGCTGTATTCGGCAAAAGATGAGCTCCCTGATAGGAGCATGTGAGATCCATAAGGGCGTTTGCTTCCTGACAGGCATGCAAGATTCAGAACGGCAGAATGATTAGAGTGCCAGACTAAGAATGAGGAGAACCAGGTTCAAATCCCCACCCAGCCATGAAGTTCATTGGGTTGCCTTGAGCCAGTCGCGCGCTCCTTCTCTCTCTCTCAGCCTAACCTACACCACAGGGTTGTTGTGAGGGTAAAGCGGGAAGACCCTGGCAGCCCACCCCAAACTCTGTGGATTAGGGTGGGATTAAAATTCAATCAGTAAATATTCAGACCAGCATATAAACTGGTGTTCCAAAGTATATCTACTTTATTGGTGTGTTCGCCCCACCTCACCCCAGAAACAAAACTTTCACAAAGCAGTTTACAATACAACTATAAATATTATAAATATTTCCCCCATGCACCGTGTCAGGGAACTGCCATCGGAAGGAAGGGAGGTGAAAGGGCTCACACAGGTTGGGAGAGACTCAGCAGCTGAAGAGGGAACCAGTAGGGGGAGAGGAGCTGAGCTGAGGGAAAGTGAGCTGGAGGGATGGCTCAGAGACACTTCCAGCGAAAACAGTGGGGAGGTTTCAGGACCTCCTGTAGGAACACCCACTCCTCGCCGGAAACTGTCACGCAGAGAGTCCAGAAGACGTGTTTCCGTTAAGGAGCTTTTATGTTGGAAGCGATTCCAAAGCAACCACTGTCGGAATCTGCTAGTGACTAGAGGAGCCATGTCTGAGGGGCTCCGTCACAGACAGAGG